TACTCGTGTTATTATGTATATAAAGAAGTTAATGAATCCTGCTGAATCAGTTATCTGTGTGTGCTTTCTAGAAGTGATTTTGCAACAAACTGACAGGTTCTCAGTCATCCAGGTCATGGTTATCTCAAAGGTGCTTTTTCAGGAGGCTTACTTGTTTTTTCTTTGAAGATGTTTCGCTTCTTATCCAAGAAGCTTCTTTCAGCTCTGACTGGATGGTGGGGAATGGAAGCATTTATATTCCTTGCAGACAGCTGGTCATTTCCATTCTTTTAGAGGGTCGTTGAAGCACTTGGAGATCCTCAGGGCCACCTGAGTAGTGCTCTGATTCCTGGATCTAGAATCCCTCTGGAAATCTATTCATACTCCCACACAAGAAAATATGACCTTAGCCCTGCTTGCATGTTTGTCATACAAAACATGTCTCTTTGGATTTCCCGAGTTTCTATTTCCAATAGAAAGCAAGAGTCAGACAGAAGCCTTGGGTTGCTTTCAAACAGAGGATCAAGGTCAAACTTCATTTGCTTATATTGAGTATACAGCAGAGACATATTACTTCTCTACTTAAAACCTTATTTCATCTGTCATGCTTTGAACTCCATTGATAAGCTTGACTGACTATTCCTTTGAGTTCTCTTATGGTAGTGAATTCCATTTGTTAATAGTATTTCCTGATTTTAATCCAGATTCAGCTTCTTTGAATGACGGTTTTAATATTATAAGACTTGAGGATCCACTATTATCAGTTTCTTTCTGCATAGTGTAGCTTCAATAAGATTTTAATATATGCATAAAGAGTTGCATATGCTCTGTATAAGAAGCATAACTAACCTTAACTAGTATGACCAAAATACTAGCATGTAGTACTAGCCTTAAGCAGTATGACCAACACTGTAGCCTTAACTAGCATGACCAACATTCATGCATAGTCAGAAAATATTCTGTTTTTGTAGCTGGGGCCTCTGTGATAGCTTTATAAGAGTTCTTAGAAGAGTTGATATAGAAAGGGTTCTGTAGTTTGAATAGATACTAAGAAATAATGGACAAATGAGTCCATTTCTAAGAGAAATCAAACCATTAGTGATTAATGTCGGTGGCTAACCAATATTTGCTTTAGTTGGTCACATTAATAGAAGTCCATAGAAATTAGATTTTGCCCACTTCAACTGCATTAAAAGTTCCAATCCACAAAATGCATTATACTTTAAAGAAAATTGTATTGATGTTTTTAACACTGTGGCAGATTTTAATGGAGAAATTTAAACATTTTGTCTAATGTGGAAATATTAAAAAGTTCATTTTAAAACAACAGTCAGTAATATAAATGTTGTTGGTGATTCTCCTAAGAAATGTTAACAAGTTGAAAGCCAAACTAAAAACACAGTGGTACTTAAACGTCTAAACCCAATTGCTATGCCTCAAGCATTTTTAAGCCCACCCCCATGCCATTGCTTCTAAGCATGGGATAGGAGGTTCTGGTCAAAGTGGGGAGGGCTTCTACAGTTTCTCTGCCTCTTCCTTTTTTGGAGAGGCCTCCACTGCTTTGGTTGACTTCTTTGCTTTCCAGATGTTTTACGTCCCGTGAGAAGCTGTGTTTCTTTCATCTAAAATGTTGATGGCATCTATTATCCATTATCATGCTATTTGCATTGGTATCAGAAAAACAAAATTCCACATCTTACCAGGAGCAAATGACCCATCTTGGTTTTTAACCACCTTTGTTTTCATTTGTATATAATATTGAATCTTGAAAGATCTACAAAAAGGAGTTCAGTATTTTTATTATATCAGGTTTTCCCAATCTTGGGAAAGCATCTTGGGCCTCCCTTCCCATAAACTCTGGTCAGATAAACAGTGTTGGCTTTGGATTATGGGAAATGAAGTCCAACAGATTCACAACCTAAAGGTTATGAGATTGGGAAAGGTTGCTTCTCAGATAAAGTATTTAAATAGTGTAAAATAATGATGCAGTGTAATTGACTGGACTCAATCAATGGAAAATGCAGATTTAAGCAATGCGTAAGAGATCACTTATTTTTCACTTAATCCATGTATGCTATAATAGAATGCAACAATGACCATATCATAAAGCAAAATGCACTTAAAGATATTCACAGGTAGGATATGCTTTGTAAGAGACAGCTGGTTAAAACTGAAAGCAGTCTAGCTGAAAGCTTTTGAATGGGAGAACAGAGTGATGAGGCATAAAGAGGTAATACAGAGTAATCTTATGAATTTACGGTAGTAGTTCTCAACTTAGGACCATAATTGAGCCATAATTTCAGTCACAAGCTGTGACAGTCATAAAGGGGGAAAACATGATCAGATCTGATTTTATGAACTTTTTTGCAATGGTCTTTAAGTGTACTTTATTTGGAAATAAATGCTGGTTCTGGTAAAAACATAAATTGCAGTCAACCTGACATGGATGGTGCAAATAGCTGTAAATGTGAGCTGGTTGTTGAGTGCCCAAAATGCAGTCATGACAGTGAGCGGGTTGAAATAAGAATTTTGAATCAAGGATGTACATAGGTTTTTCAGGGTCTGTTGTAACTTCAAATGGTCCCTAAGTAACCAGTTGAGAATTACCTATTACATCCGTTCTGAGGGATTTTGTGAGCAGCATCTGTTTTTAACATCAACATTTTATCATCCCCTAATTCTTTCCAGATTCCAGATATGCCCAAAGGCTGAAAATATTCTGATTACCTCTTTTTTTCTCTCATTTATATATAACATTGCTTGCGTTAATGTATGAATAACGTTGCCTGCAATAATTCCCTCTCACAAACCCTTTTGTTTTGCTGTTCCTGTCTTTGAACAAAAGTTGGCAGCAGAGCCAATGTTCAAAAAATAGTAGCATGCAAGATATATAAAAGAGCCGAGGTGGCGCAGTGGTTAGAGTGCAGTAGTGCAGCTACTTCAGCTGACTGCTAGTTCAGCAGATCAGCGGATCAAATCTCACCGGCTCAAGGTTGACTCAGCCTTCCATCCTTCCGAGGTGGGTAAAATGAGGACCCAGATTGTTAGGGGGCAATATGCTATTTAGTATACTGTCTTTGGTGTAGGCCGCCCAGAGTCCTCGGAGAGTGGGCGGCATAGAAATATGATTAATAAATAAATAAAATAAATAAATATCCCACTTCCATTCCATGTTATTGATAATTTCCTATTTCTATAATGAATAGTCTTCACTTAACGATGAATTGCTTGACAAGCATTTGACATTATGATGGACCCTGGAAAAGCTACTTATAACCAGTACCAGTGTTCTGATGGTGGCACACACATATATCCTTCCCCTGTGGTCGCATGACCACATTTCAAGTGCAGGAAACTGGCTCACATTTATGGCTGGTTGCAACATTCCATAGTCATGTGACCACAATTTACTACATTTTTTCCAGTTTCCAGCCTTTTTAAATGGTTTCTGGCAAAAAGTGCACATAAGAATGGAAACACCTAAAAATAGTTGTAAAATTGTGCCTTGACTTAAGCTGCTCCTAGTTGGTCTCTTTGTCCTTGTATATAGCATTTATTAAAACATTATTTTTCATTTAAATTATGAACTTTTTACTTCTTTGTGTGTTGGGAATCCTCAGAATATAATTTTCAAATGGAAAAGTTTTTTTTATTATTTACCCTCAGGCTTAAAAGAAACGAAGGAAAAAGAAGTGAGGTGTAAATGCCAGGCCTAGTTCCTCACTCCTTTCTAGGGCCATTCAAAAGCAGAATATATTATGCAAAAATAATAAAATTTTCTCATATTGCTTTACATATAAGGATTGCAAATATTAGCTGTAATTGGAAAAGGGGGAAGATAAAAGGGTATGAATATAATAACTAAACAGTGGATGTTTTACTAGTTTTCTGCATTTTATTTATTACTAGTAGTTTTTTTTTTCTTAAATATTAACTTAAGTTACTGTACATATATTTATAGTAACATTTTTAATGTTACAATATTCCATATCCTTTGGCTGCATTTAATTTTTTTAATAAAATATAAAGATATAGATACTATAATGCATAAATTTGCTGAGACTTCCTAGTGAATAGGTATATAAAGCAGTTGAATATTGTACATTCTTACTTTTCTTCCAAGATAAGGCTGGTGTCTACAAGAAACAGCATTCCCTATGCTAATGCAGAACAAAATGTTGTGAAGCTGTCTCTATTAGAATCTTTAGATGATTAATTTGGGATTGTGAGACAGATGTAAAAATATTTCACAATTTATTTATTTGCTGTTTTAGCTACTACATTGGTACAACATTCTGTAATATTACATTATCTACATTTATCTACTGCTTAATGATCACACATGTAATGGCGTTAATTACATTACTTACAGTTTTAAAGTACATCATTTATTCATGTATTAATTTGGCTTTTTTAAAATTAGGAGCTGGTTTAGCAAGCTATAATTTAAAAATAAGCAATCAAATGGTATAAGTCTTGGTGTTCATAGTTAATGTATATCCATATGTTTGAACTGTAGGGAATATTTTATATAAAGGTTTCAATCAGTTAATTTCGCTTTGAAAGATAATTCAATGAGAGAGCAGCATCCCCACAGAAATCCATATGATTCCCTGGTGTTATTCAGAAAGTCACTGAAAACTTGGCTGATCTCCCAGGCCTTGGGCAAGGTGGTAGTTGATTCTCTGTTTTGCTTGTTATAGAAAGTTTACCTTCTGGAGGTATACTATCAGTCCTTCCTTCCTTCCTTCCTTCCTTCCTTCCTTCCTTCCTTCCTTCCTTCCTTCCTTTCTCTCTCTCTCTTTCTCTTTCTTTCTTTCTTTCTTTCTTTCTTTCTTTCTTTCTTTCATTGTTTCTGCTTTTTTAAGTTTAAACCATCTAGAGTTATGTCCTTTAAATTCTATTAAATAGCATCAAATAAAATATTATATACTTAGACTTTCTGAAATCAAGGTCACAGACCCTAAGAATGTTTATCAGCTATGATTTTTGAGTGTCCTTTTTCTCCCTTTCTTCCCTAGGTGTTTACGAAATATGGAAAATGCTACATGTTTAACTCAGGAGAAGAGGGGCATCCACTGTTGACCACGTTCAAGGGTGGGACAGGCAATGGACTGGAGATAATGCTGGACATTCAGCAAGATGAGTACTTGCCAATATGGGGAGAAACAGGTGAGAGAAGAACTATTTGTTCTGTTTATCTGTTGCCATATTCTTCATTCATACTTGCTGATCTTTAGTGTTAAAAATAAGTAGAAGTTGAATCAACATAGTCCAGAAATAATAGAATTGCAGTTCCCATATTTCCCAGATTCCAGAAAACATAAAATTTCTTTTAAATCAAATTTGCCTTTTTATGATTTAATAAATTCCATGTAGGATTTTTTTTTTATCTCACCAGTATTACTTTATAAGTAACTCAGGTGATGAACATACATAATATTACTTCCTCCTCCTTCAGCAATAGTACAGACATGATTCACCAGTGTCTTCTTTCAAAATATTTCCAATTCAGCTATAGCCATGGTACTCCCTGATAATCTGCCATCTAAGTGTTAATTAGGCCAGACCCCACATAATTTCCAAATTAGACAAGATCAGACTGATGCTACTACCTGCTCAGGCAGCTTCGCATTTTTATGTCATTAAAATTACAGTGAGGATATGTATAGTCTGTTCTTTCTGTCCCCGGCTATGAATATCACACATATTCTGAAATTCTGAAACAGAACGTAACAGAGACAAATACTTCTTGTGTATCTCCAGCATTTCATATTTAACAGCATACTGCTTTCATAACTAAACCTACTGATAGACGTAAAGCTCATTTGAACAGTTGGTTCCTTAAAATATTTCCAGGTGTTTGGAAAGTGTAAATAAAAAATGGGGAATTGGTACAATCCTGTTTTAAATGTTAGACCCTTTCTCCCATTAAACTGATAGCCAAATTGAAATGCAGTTAGTTATTTCAGTGCAGTTCTCTGAATAAAACATTCATGGAAAAGGTTACATAAATGTGCATGCATTTCTGAAAAAGGACAACACAGCATTTCATTAAATAATTTTATTGCTATTATTGTGTCATGAGCCGATCTGAAAATAGACTAGAATAACCTTGATGGTAAGAAAATGTAGAATATAAAAACAAACAAACTTGAGAAATTTGTTCTTATTCCTAATTATTACCATGGTTGGAATTTGGTAACATTTTGTCTTATATATAGGAAATTCTCAACTTATAACCACAAATGGGACTAGAATTTCTGTTGCTAAATGACGGTTGTTAAGTGAGTTACTCCTGATTTTATGACCTTTTTTGCCATGTTTAAATGAATCACTGCAGTTGTTAAGTAAATCATGAAGTCATTAAATAAGTCCAGCTTCCCATTGATTTTCCTTTACGGAAGCCGGCTGCAAAGGTAGCAAATGATGATCACATGTCCCCAATATGCTGCAACTATTGCAAATACATCTTGATTACCAAGTGTCCAAATTTTCATTACATGACTTTGGGGATATTACATTGTTCATAAGTGCAATTATTGGTCATAAGTTTCTTTTTACAGTGCCATTCTAACTTCAAATAGTTGCTAAAAGAAAGGTTGTAAGTTGAGCACCACCTGTAAACAAAAATAGACATTTACTCTGTGCTATTATTTATTCTCTTTTTTTTTTCTTTGAATGAGTTACGATTATCCAACATTGTTTAAGAGGAACAAGAATTTGAATCTGTTTTTTCCCACTTTAAATGCAACACTATCACTTTACACATCAGTAGAGTTTAGATTTCAAAGCAGAAATCCCAAATTGTTTCATATATATATATTAGGCTTATATTGACTTTTTCTTCAGTAAAGGTAGTAGTTAGCATTTGAAAGTGACGGTGGGTATGTGCTTACTTTAAGATATCTCTCTGCTCTGCCGGAGGAGCTATCAGGTTTTAATATTAGCAGTACAAGAATATCAGCAGTGTATAGAGATGACATTAGCTGGGGATGTGATTCAAAAAAAATCAGTGCACCAGCAAGAACACAGTCTCTGAGATTTAAGAAGCAATGTTAGCATTTTGCTGAATTTTGTTTTAAGGTTATATCTGGAATTGCCATAACTACAAAATCAGACCCTGAGAATGTGGGTAAGCCTTGGAGAAGAGATATGCAAAGATAGGAAAAAACTTAATAAAGAATTTTTGTGACAAGCTACACAATTTCATCTGGCTAAGGAATGCTGTCCAAAATGGAATGGCTTAGACTAAGACAAAAATTGAATTATATTTCACTTATAATTAATTGATTAAATATGGCTAAAATAAATATACTCCAGTCATGTATTTAATCATTTATCATATATTTCAATCGTACAGTTCCCTTTTGGGAAAAATAAGGCAGAGAAATTAAAAACCAGAATTCAGCGAAAAGACATACAGCTGAAATCTAATTTATACCAATCTTATTCCCAGATCTTATATTTCTATCTTTGAAATCTTAGCTTGTTCACAAAATACTAAAAAATCAATACATTCTGGGTTTCAGACAAAACAAATTCTTGATGAGGCAAATAGGGCATGGCTAGTGCAGTCTCTGCAGCTCCTAGTGTGGCATATTCTGGTGGCCTACCCAGCTCTCCCGATTATGGCCAGTGTCTTCCCTTCCTCTTATATAGATGCAGGAGGGTGTTGAATGGACTATTGCTATTTGCTTTAGATGGAACTGGCCTTGAAGAACAGCTGGTGCAGAAGGCAGCTCTGTGGACAGTTATGTGAACTCTTCAGTCAGTATACATCAGTGAGGGCTTACCATTTTGCCGGTGTGCCGAAAGCGGAGGTTGCGCGGAGGGGTCGCGCACGTGTGTACCCACACCCATAATTCAATGCGCCCTGTCTCCCCGCGCATGTGCGTGGACCCCCCTGCACCACCCTGCTTTCAGCACGCAATGGCATGGTGGGCCCGTAGGCCTGTTTTTTGCCCTCCCCAGGCTCCAGAGGCTTTCTTGGAGCCTGGGGAATGCAAAAATGGCCATCTGGAGGCAGGAAACGGCCCATTTCCCGACTTCCGGTGGGCCCAGAAGGCCCGAAAATCAGCTGGGTGGCTCGTGCATGCGTGCCATAGCTGAGCTATGGCAACGTTCGCGTGCCCACCGATATGGCATAGCGTGCCACCTGTGGCACACGTGCCATAGGTTCGCCATCACGGGTATACATTATACCTCTGGTCTGTGAGCTTCACTGATTACCAATATCTTCTGGTTTTAATTCAAGGTGCTGATGATCTACAAAATACTTCATGTCACGGTACCAGATTATTTGAGGAACTAGTTTCCCGATTAAATCTGTTTTATTAGGTCTGGCAGAAGACACATGCTCTGAGTTCTTCTTGTTAGGGAATGTCCACTGATGGGCCCAGAAGAGTCTGTCATAATGCCTATATTTGAAAATTCATCCTCCCAAAGATTAGATTGCCCAAACCTACCGGCTTTTCATAAGGCCTGAAAGACGTGGTTTTATCACTGGAGATTTGAGAATGCAGTAGAACCTCTACAATGGTTATATGTTGATTATTGGTAGTGGCTTTTTTATACTTCAACGACTGATTTGTTGCATGGATTTTATATGTGTTTGTATATTTGATTTTATATTGTTCTTTGTTTTTATATAGTTTTAATTGCTGTAAGCGACCCAGAGTCAGGTATTTGAAGTGGTGAGCTATATAAATTAATTGAACAAACAAACAAACAAACAAACAAATAAGTTTCAAGAATGCACTTGAACCAAAAAACTATACTGGCTTATACCATATCCCACCAAAGCTAAAACCTTACTGAGAGCAGCCATCTGCAACTTTATACTTTTTAAATGTGGTAGATTAGAGTTTTCATCTTCCCAAATCAGCATGGCCATGCTGCATACTTATATAGACCTAAGAGCTCCAAATATGGGAATATTGCTATAGAAAGTTTCCTTGGAAGGAGTTCTCTTTCCATCAGTTCTCAGTCAGGACCATAATGGAAAGCACTATGTAAGGTTCTAACAATTAATACTTTCATTGCTATTATCTCCAAAAGAGCAAAACAAATATGAGTGCTTCCTTAGATGAACAGAACTAATTTCTTTGTATTTTCTGTTTGTTAAGATCTCCCAGCACAAAATAGCACTCCCAACACTATCACATATGATCCTAATAAGGAATTCACTCAATCCATGATTTGTATTTTCATATGCTCCAGGAAGAACTTACATTTTACCAATATACATTTTCTGACATGCATTTTATTTAGCTCCTTCATTTGTAAATAAACTTACACTTTTACATGATACCTCCAATATATGCTTTCACTTTGTTTCACCTTCATTCTGCTATTATAAAATTATATTTTTTCTTAAGTTTCTCAGCCATGTACCTATTTTCTTCCATTTATTAACTCATAATCCTTATATTTTTTTATCCCTCTTACATTCGAAGCAGCAATCTTTCATATGGCATGATAATTTCCAAATGGATTCAAATCTCTTTGGGTTGCTTATTTTAATACCATGTCAAAAGGCTACATTGTACTTGTGTCATATGCAGCATTACCCACTAATGGCAAAGTAGTCCTGGTTAACTTGGGTGCATTTTGGCCAGCATGCCACAAGAACAATCAGGTTCATTCGAATAGTGCAAATGAGTGTAGAACCTTCTTGGAACTGCTGAAAGGACTATGTTGTAAACAGGAGACAGATAGACTACTACCAGTGTGCAAATATTACTGGTTTTGGTACCAGTTGGTAATTATATACTCCAAATGATATAGTGGAAATGATATAGTCCAAATATGGGTTTGTCATCTCACTGGGAACTAGATTTCAATTATGAAGAAACAAACAATACCATGAACACAGATAACATTCTCATAAGTGTAAACTGTATGAGAGGTCTATTTGGTTATATATAGCTTCATCTTTGTGAGAGAAGGAAAGTAAGGAATAATGGTTTCATCACATTAATGAGATTTATTTGATGTTGGATTAAGGATTCTGGTTTGCAAAGTATGGTTTTATGGTTCAATATGTTGAACCAGTTATAGTTTAGTCAACAATCTTTAAGCAAATCATAGCTTAACCATTATATAAACTCAGCCAAATTGTATGAAATATATTTTCCTCCTTCCTCGTTGTTCAGAAGATGGAAGCCTAG